GATCTTTAAAGATCCTGTAATACTTAGTTGTCATTATTGTGTGCTTTTGCTTCTAGTTTTTATCATACAGTTCGTTAATTTTTTTTTTTTTTTGTTAAATTACAATAGAAATAATAACCAAATAAACTTGATTACGTTACCAGATATTATTGTTGCCAAAAGATTACCAAAGATAGATATTAAAAGAAACATAAATTATTTTTAAGTTCCATATGTTATTAATATGAATTACTATGATAATGATATATTAATGCTTATGATTACTTAATATATAATTTTTATTGTGTAACAAAATGTAAATAAAATGCTTTCTCTTGTAAAAACTCAGTGTTAATATTGTAACAATACTATAGCAATATATGCTATAATAAACTCGGACCGAAACCCAGAACAAAAAAAAAAACTGAAAAAAGAAAAAAAAACCCGTAAACCGGAAACAATTCGGTCGATCCGGTTATGGTTCAGTTAGTTTCGGTTTGATCTACGATCAAATGAAACGGTTTCGATTCCAAAACAGTTTTTCTGGTTCGGTCCAGGACACCAATCATATAATTTTTCTTTAAGAGCAAAAACGTGAAAACTTTATGAATTCGACAATTCCATTCACATAAAAGTTTTCACTTTTCACGTTTCCGTTCTTAGAGATGTCCTAATACTAAATATTACAAACTAAAATAGTAATGCAAAGTAAATGCTTTGGAATGCAATAAAAACGAAATATATAATAAAATGAAGAAAGAAAATGCAATATGAAGTAAAAAATGTGATAAAAAATGTTAAGAATAGACCGATTACAAAAAGTACAAAGTATTTTGCAATCGTGAATCCGGTACTCGGTGAATGAATCTACTCACCAGGAATGCAAGCTTATGAGCATAGTGACAAGGCGCCGGCACTCTAACGGTGTTTGAACAATTGTAATACATATGAGTTAATTTATATGTCAGACGTTGCATCTTATCAGGATCTAGACCCAAATTGTCTAAAATAACGCTGTAAGAGGTAGGTGTTACCGTACCCTGTCGCACTTGCTGCGACACAATGAAGAAATCGTATCGGATCGGACTTGTGATAACATCGTCAACCACCGTGCCGGGCGGTGGATTCTCAAAATTCAGGAATAATCGCGTGTTCAGTCGCTTCGTCACAATTATGAATCCCAGTTTGTAATTTGGACCGCCGTACAATGTGTTGAGCTCCTTCTGTATTGCCCCAACTTCACGTTCCAACACCTGCGACACTTGACCCTCGCCGACGCCGTCGCGATAAATCAGGATGCGTGACGGCAGAGTTTTGTTGCACGTGCCGTACACACGCGCGGCCTTGGAGATGTTGACAGCGAGCTCAGTTGATAGCTCGTCGCCGGTCGTGTGAGCGTTTACAGTACTGTAGTATCTCGTCATGTATCTATCCAAAGAAGCCACTGTGGCGCCTACAACGACAAATCAATGTTAATGAAGAAAGACCGACGTTCCACGATAAGTTTCCGCTAATTGAGTATGCTACACGCAAGTAGCGCATATTAGGAAAAACCATTTGTGCATATTTTTCATAAAAAAAAAAAAAAAAAAAAAAACAAATACAAAGCTTGAGAATTAATCGAGGATTAATTCAATACAATGAACGGGAAATGAATAAATTAACTCTAGAAAGTCACCATTATTATTCTGAATCTTGATTTTCGCTATTTTTCATGAACTCACCGAAATCTTTGCTTTTATTCATTGTATCGTGACAAACGTCAAATCCGACAATCATCAATCCGTCCAAGGGAATCTCCACGCGCCATGGCGCTCCACCCAATTTACAATTCATCTGTATAGCTATCTTCGTAGCGATAGACATGATATTCTTGTGCGAGAGAGTCCTGGACAAGCAGACCTGCGACGCTACAGGTCGATCCACGTAGCACTTCTTTTTAATTGCAGAGTAACGATCACTGCGATTGTTTGATACTACGCAAAACACTAACTGTGGTATTCTCTTGCTCAGAATACGCTCTAGTGTGTCATTATACGTGCCCGGTCTGTCATCGCGAATAATTTCTATAGTCGGATTATCCACGTCAAATGCTACTCCTCTCGATACTTTCGTCAGAGTAGATATAAAGTTCTGAAATAAAATATTTTCGATCAAAATGATTAGATATTAATGTTATACATTTGATCGGTATATATATTTTAATCCAATTTTGAAATATTAATTATATTTTGAAAAAAATAAATAATTTTTCTTTTACTTTTTCGAATCATGTATATAATAAAATAAATAACAAAAATATAGAATAGAAATATAGAATATAGAAATACATAAAAAACGACAAAAACTAGCAATTCCACAAAAATATCAATGTTGAAATAGATATTGTTATTTCAAAAACTAAAAAATAATTTTTTAATTAGAATATTTTTTTCTAATAGAATAATTATGCAGATGTATAAATAATACAGAGAAATATAAAGTAATATTTAACTGAATAAAGATGTGATAATACCTGAATCATACTCTTATCTCTCTCCGTAACGATAAGGATCCAATCTTTTAATGGCTTGCTGACCAAACACCTCTTATTTTGCATCTCTCTTGACCAATCGCCTTTGTTAGGTGTTATAGTTGCATTTCCGCCAAATGTAAGTACCTCATTATTTAACAAACGTCCGGGAATATCGAGCAATTTGTTATCTAATTGCAAGTTCCATTCAGTAAATTCCGTTACAACATTAGGTGTGCTTTGAAGTCTTTTATTGAAGCTCAGTAATTTTTGTATGCGATTTTGAGGATTCAGACGAGTGTATGTGGCCACGCATGACATAAGCTTGTAATTTTCTCTCATGTTATCAGTCATACCTGTAAATTGCCACAGTAATTAGGAGTAGCAAGATCGACAATTTTGGAAAAATTTTTCTCGCTGCTAAATTTGAAGACACAATCACAAGTAAAGATTAGATTTTTTAGAAACGCTGATAAAACGCATAGCACACCTGTCGCACGGCATAGTTCGGGGAGTAAGTAGATTCGTTCCCCCTCTGCAGCAGATCCCTTTACTCTTGATTTCGCTATTAACAACGGTGGCTGACGGTGCGTAAGATTGATACCATACTTCTTTTTGTAGTACTGCATGTATGTTACTTTTTCACCATTTTTCATGGAAAATGAATCGCAAGGATTCGTTGAGAAATCCACGTCCTCGATACGATATGTATTATTGTTATACTGAGTGAGAACTACCGTGCCGACCACAGAGTTGATGAAATTTGTCTGCACACACATTATTTTATTTATCTTTGTAATAAAGTTAAAAGAAATATGTTTGATGCATGCAATTTTGATAAAAGTGATTTGAGATAATTTGTAAAGTTTTCTTAAAAGCTAATACAAAGAAATGTAATGTTTATTTTTTACACGAAAATCTAAGGGAAACTCACTCTGCAATTTTGATTATCTTCCCGCATACAGTTATGGTAGATGTCCAGCAATGTTTCCAATCGCATAACTTTGTTCGTGATTTCAGAACACATTAAGATGTCGCGCTCATGTTGACGAATGGAAGTTATATATCCTGGCCACAATTCTAACTTATACTCCGGCAAAACAATCTGCATAAATACAACAGAGATATCACCTGGTGAACACTGAAGTTTCTCCGAAGCATCAACGTGAGTGTTGACGAGTCCACAGATATGTTTACCTTATTTTGAGGATCGAAAAAATTACGACCAATCAATTTTAGATCCAGATGCTCAAAGCACTTTCTCATAATTATGTTAAAGAATTGGATGTAATGGTAATCTCCTACAAGCATATCAGCAACGAGGCGAACTGTGATTGTTATTGGTTGTTCGTCCGATTGTCGAATTGAAGTAAATGTCATTTTCTAAAATATTTTACAATTGTTATTTTTATAAAAGTATTTGAAAGGGTTCTGAACGACGTACAGAACACGTATGTGCCATACAAAGCCGCATATATATACTACTTACCTCAGCCAATCGGGCGGTCGTGTACATTACAGAACCGTCAAAGATGTACGCACCAATCTTCTTTTTATGCAGTTTGAGTAAACCTTTACGCACAGCCGTACGATCTTCCTCAGGTGCGAAATAAACATGGTACTGATGAATAGCCCAATCGGTCGATTTTAACAGTTTAAAATAATTGGATTGTAACGTCATAGCGGATCCAGACGAACCTGAAATTCACACGATATAAATAAGAAAATGTAACTTTCTAAAGAGAATAAAATATATTTTATTCGTGTCAAGTGCAAAATGTTGCACCAAATTTATGCATCTGAAAGAAGTAGCAAACAAACAATTTGTCGAAGAAAATTTTCATTGAGAAAAACTTTAGTATAATGTGTGAGAAGAAAAAAGAAAATCACCACATTAATGCTTTTCCAAGAAAAATAAATACACGAGAAATTTAAGAATAATGGTAGACAACAACAAGAATAGCTTACCCTTTTGTTCACTACATGACTGGGTTTTGTAACAAGAATATCTGTGAGCAATATTCTTTTGCCACGAACTGCTCCTCTCCCAGTTGATGAAACAGCCACAGTACCTGCGCTGACACTAGCATCGCCACCGCCACTAGCAGCTACAATAAAATATGGCAAATCTTATTTAATATCAAGAAAAGAACATAAATATACGTCTAAGTGTATATCGAATATCTTCAACACAAATTTTTGAAGTATTTCTAATATCTATGCAGCCATAAATCACATTCAGGAAACAATATCACACAAAACACATATCTATACTATTTAACTCATTCATATCAGGCAATCAAATGCTACTACATATTCCATTTAAAATAAATAACTTACTGCCATGTTGCAATGTCATGTGTTCTAGACCTCTTCCTATTTGTCCAATTGTTGCGCTGTCACCCCTTTCACCAATGCGTTGTGCCATACCACGTCCAGTACTCTGTTAATAAGATTTAATTTCATTATACAACAATTACTATTGTTGTAGTTATTACTATATTAATTAAGTTAAACAATAGTTTTCATACTTGAGATACAATTCATAGAGAAATTTTGATCACTTTACTTATAAACTGAGAAATGAGAAAGAAAAAGAGATGGATAAGAAAAATAAAAAAAAGAACTGTGAAAGGAGGAAAAAAGGCAGGGAGAAACAAGTTACATTAGGAATGCATAGAAGAGAAAACAAGAAGTAATATAGAATATAGAAAATTCAAGAATAGATAACGTTGTCTTCTTATTACTATAAAGTCATAAAAAATTTACTTTATTATGTTATATAAATCAAATTATCAATTTCATACCAAAATCAGATATAAAATAGTTGTAATATTAGTTAAAACTCTAAAACATAATTTTTATATTAATTAGATTACAATAGAATCTTTATATCGCATGTTAACTTTTTATTATCACAATATTCTTAAAATTTAATATTTTTATATTAATAAAAAGATAAATGTTTCTAGTACACAAAGACTTGGAATATATCATTTTTTTTTTAATCACTTTTGTTGCGCCTTCAACCTCCTTTAGTGAAGCTTCTTTAGTAAGGTTTTTTAGTACCAAAAACTCTTACTTGGAATATTAGATATTAATGAATATTAATTGATGAATTAATAAAGTAGCAAATACATATATATAATATATTATTTACCATAGATTCTGTAGGTTGTCCCGGTCTACGAATCTGCCCACTGCTTGTGGATTGAGAATGTGGAAGCTGTTGCTGTGAGGAAATAGTTTTATCTTGTGAAGATCGCGAAGAATCGGATCGATCAGTTGAAAGCGGTTGTGGTTTGCTTCGCCCACGCGTTCCTCGCCCTCTTTGAGACATCTTGACTGAGATATCTAAGATAATATAATATAATATTAATAAATACCAACAAAAAACTAATACATTTGTCGCAAAAAAAAAGAAAATGCATCTAATAATTTGTGCGTTTAATTACGCAACAGGGAGCCTCACAATGTCGGCTAAGATGATTATAAGAACTCATAAATCGAACCAGTTCATGCACGCACACGAAGCAGGCTAAGGCACGTTCGAAACATAAACAAAGAAAAAAAATCTAAAGCTCATGTGTCGCGATAAGAAAAACCACAGTACAAAGCGTATTTTTAATCGCAGCGTTAAAACGGTCGTGTTTTTTAGAACTGTGATCTTGGCTGGAAAATTTCCGATCGCGATTTCTTTAAGTTTTTCAGACTATATAATCGAATTTTTCTGAAATTAATTGAATGAACGAATCTTTTCCAATTACGGTACCTATATTCGTAATTTAACAATTGATGAAAAACGGCATTATACTGTGATCAAAAAATTTTCCCAAATAATCAAATAATCACGGGCTCTTTTATTCCCACATTTTTTTCTCTTTTTTTTCTATTCAATAGTTGAATACATATATTAATAATCTTAAGATTGGTTTTTTCTTTTAGCTCGTAACAAAAGAAAGTGTGTAAGCCTTTTCTCTTCAGAAATGAGCTTTTAAACATGAGCTGATCATATCGCCTTTCCGAAACTTTTCCAACTTTTCCAACTTTTTGTCGTCCATCTTTTTGTCGTTGTTCATTTAGACTTACGAATTATTCAATAATACGATGTTTGTGATTTTTTCACAAGCGAGGACAACATATCTTTTGATAAAGCGGACCTATACATCGGATCTATGTTATAAATATCAGATAATTCGCGAGAAAATGTAGAATAAACTGAGCTTTACCTGAAAAATACTCTTTCGTTCAACTCTCGTCCTTTGCTCCACAATATCTAGCTTATTCTAGCTGCTATGGATTGGTTTAACACAGATCTAATACTTTATTCTTGCAAGTATATGTGAAAGTATAAAAATCTCAACCTGATTGGTTACAGCATTACAATCACGTAACTGACAGCCAATCAGAAAGAAATTATACACACTTGATATTTGAAAAGTGAACATATAAAATCAATATTTAGAGAAATTTAGTTTAATTTTTGTCAAAATATGTAGCAATTTCACAGCATAAAACCTGAGAATTATCGATCACAATGTGCAATATATAACATTGTGAAAGAAGATGATAAAAGGATCTTAAAAATTGACGACGTATCTCTTCCACTTTTTCTAGTTGCAACAAAGATAGACGTTCATTTTATATTGCTATCTCTTTTCTATAATTAAATATCTCTAGACAGTAAGTGCCGAAAATGCCACTAATGTAATTAATGCGATCTATTTGACGCTACAAATGCTACGAAGCGTTCTTCTTTTCCTTCTTTCCTTATTGAAAGAAAGGAGAAAAAGCGTATTTCGAAGCATTTGTAGGTTAAGCGAGCCTACTGAACCTAAAATGAACACAACCACATTCTGGTGGTAATAATTAGTCGAACGCACTTCTACTTTTATTTATTCTATGATTCAGTATGATGCGCGCTATTTTAATCATGTATGGTTTTATCGTCGTACTTGATCCTCGTTTTCCTTGACATCTTTTTCTATTGAATCGTTGAAAATATCAGTTTCGGAAGAAAAAGATTTTCCCTCAAATATTCTCGATCTCGCGAAACGTCGCTCTCGAAAAAATCACGAATTAGTAAGAAGATGAAATACCATCGTGAGTTGCGCCGGTTGACTCTTTGTTTTGTAACAAATGTCATACTTTCATAAACATGTGACCGTCTTGGGAAGTATCGAGTCATTGTGGTATTTGAAACTAGCGTCTTATCAGAATTTCATTAATTTGTTCAATGAGGAATTCGAAGAGAAAGTTAAAATGAACGAGAGCGAAAAAACGGAGACGCAATCTGCGTGCGATACACGTTCTAACCTTTCGAATGAGACGGTTTTTCATGCTGTGTACATACCACAGGACAAGGACTCGCCGGATGAAGATACAAAAGGTGAATACTGATTCAGAATAATGTTTCCTCATTAATGTAATTTTATTACTTTAATTATAATTTAATAAAGTAAAAGTATATAATTTAGTAATTGATAACCATCTCAACATTGATTTTATAATATATTGAGTAGATATTTAATGGATATTTTTTTTTTACATACAGAGTGGACCACTTGTTATCAGCTAAAATATGTTATCTCAGAAAGCAAGTTTCTTGATTTATGTATTTTTGACAGTCTTGTGTGATAATACAGTACTTTATTTATTCTATGATATTGCGTAGAAGTCTGAGATCGCATAAAAATTGTTTTTGTTGATTAAATTAAGTGGATTAATCTATATAATTAATGTTTGTTAAACAAAGAAAACTACATTAATAATTTATATAGCATCAAAAACTTAATTTATGCTGTTATGCATTTCATATTTTTAGTTATTATTATTGTTGTTAGTATATTAATATTATGTTACATTGAATACTATTGTCTTTTGCAGAATGTATTCATATTTATGAAGATATGCCATCTGCCTTACTTGTGATAAAGACACATAAAAAGGCACGTTTGAAAACCTTTAGAAATCGTTTGGATGCCGAGGCATATGCAAAAAGTGGACAAGAACAATCTACCAATTATTCTGCTTATTCTATTTATCCTAGCATTGTTGTAACACAAGAAAAATCTAGCAACTTTAAGGCACCAAAACCACAAGAGCTTGTGGGCTTCAAAAAATTAATTGAGAGTGGAGATATGGAGGCTGTGAAGAGTACTGTATGGGAAAATCCAAGATATTTAATAAGTAGTGGAGATACACCTGCAATTTTACAGGTAAATATAATACTTGCAATTATATTTATACAAATAAGTATATTTGTGCTAAAAAGAATTGCTTAGTTTTAATTAAAAAATTTAATATTAACATTATACAATTACTTGTGAAGTATATTGTATACATTTTCTCTACAAGAAAACAATTATATTTTAGATGGGCTCTCGATATAATGCATTGCACATAGCAGCGAGAAGTGACAAACCACAAATGTGCGAATTCATATTAAACACGGTTGGAGATCCCAAATTTATACAGTGGCATTTTGGAGAAACCGACTGTAGAAGTAATCTGGATCCTGCGCAGATTATGTTGGATTTATACTTAAATACACCTGACAAAGGTCTCAATGAAACTCCATTGCATCTTGCTGTTAAATTTGGTTATAAGGATGTGGTTCGAGTTCTCGTTTCTTATTCTCAATGCATCAAAACCTTGCCAAACAAGTATAAACAGTTACCTATGGAAGTACGTTTTCAATTGACTTTAATATTTTTTGACATTGTTCTGATATGTACTTTATGTAATTACTGCTATTTTTTTATAATTAAATATAAATATGTGTATATGTATTTTTATATTACATATATGTATTTGTAATGACATTTCAGATAATATGTAGCAGAAAGTGCCAAGAAGATGAAGACTTAAAGCGTGAAATACGTATGTTGCTGGAAGATCAATTTTATGTACCTGTATTGAGAGCAGAAGGCAATGCTTGTCCACCTATTATTGGAGAGCCATTCTCTCCGACTAATCCACTTGTAAGTACATTTGCATCGATAAAATCTGAAAAATTGTGAATTACATTGTTAATTAAAGAAATAAAATTATTTTTATATTATTTTTTTATTATATTAATATTATTGCTATCAACTTTGTTATTACTATTTGCATTATTTTATTAATTTTATTTATCAAAATTATATTTTACATTACTTTTATGCAGTTATTGGACATAATAAGCATTTTATCTCAGTGTTTTCTATCTTAATGTGTATGTCGTGTATTGTAAAATACATTTTTCTTTTCTTTTCAGAATTTGAATAGTGATCCTATGAGTCCACGTGTGGAAGTAAGAGCATTTGCTGGTCCAATGAACAAGTCACAGGCGGTAGAGTTCCGGAGGAAATGGAAAACCCCACCGCGTTTAACTCCTAAAAAAGGACAAGGCGATGTATCCAGTATTATAAGTAGTCCTAGTTTAGCTTTGAGATTAGAGGATACAGAAAAAGGACTGGAACGTGTTGGAAGGTATATATGTGTTAAATCTAAATTATTATTGTGTTATTAATATTGATATTAATTCATGCTTGCAAAGTATGAGTACTTTGTAAATAATGTGGAATTAATTGATGAATTATATGAAAATTACAATCATTAGAACAATTGATGTAATTATGACATTATTCTCTTAGTATGTGTGTTTGTTTCTGTATATTTTATTAATTAAAATAAAAAATTAATGACTTGTGCTACAATATCTGATGTTTTCAGGGATCTTGCTGAGGAATGTCAAGTGCCTTGGAAGGAGTATTGGCCGTTTTTAAAAGATTTTGTCGATTTCCGAGGTGACGAAGGATTGATGAAGCTTGAAAAGTATTTAGAACAGAGATTTCAGAACAAATACAAAAACCAAAATTACACGATGCGGTCAATTAATTCTGCAATGGTATGACAATACATTAAACGACGTGCTTTAATATTTGTACAACTAATTTTTTTATGTTTTTATTTCTTCAGCAAAAATTGATTAATAACCCGAATGAGAATGAACCAGCAAACTGCCAACAGACATCAGAGAAAATGAACGCTGTTTGTGAGATGAAAACCATCTGTCGTAAATTTCAATCATTATCTGTGGAAAATGATGAAATCGAAGAAAATATAGGTATTTTTCATATTTCATATTCTTTGACATTATATCCTTTAAAATAAAATTATTATAATATACTTTAATTTCACCATTTATGATTTTATGGTCCTTATATATATTTCTCTGATATGGATTTATGGTTTTATTATTATAAGAATCAACGCTAAACATAATTTTTATTTTACAAATATTTTAGAATTTTTTACACCTCCATCCTCACCAGAACTTCAAAATGATTCCGACGATGACATGCAGAATGCTGAAGAAGGTCTTACAACATTTATTGAAGGGTGAATAATTTTCTTTTATTCTTCATGCTTTTTGAAGCTAAATATTTACTTAAACAATAGTTCATATAATTTGTTAATATTTTTCAGATTTTCACCAACGAAATTGGATTATGCTGTTTACAATGCACTTTCGACTGCGATTTCTCCCGATACCTATCCTCACATTTACTATTGGCGACACGACATGAAACTAGTTATAAAACGTGATCCAAACAGGTATATCATGACGCATGTGTAAATTTTAATTCCAATTTAATATTTCTGAACTTCAAATTTGTCACTAATAATGTGACAATAGTGATAAAGCAGCTTTATAATTTTTTATTTTTTGTTTCTAATTTATAGGTTCAACAAAACAAACTTGCTCAGACGAAAATTATTTCACAATAATTAAATATGTAACAACTAGGATGGAGTTACATCTAGATGCCAAACTTGAATTAGCATATAAACTTGGATAAGATCATTATTTTTCCTAAACGACGATTCTACACTATCTAAAGATAAAATGTACATCCCAAGTTCAACTCTACAATTGTCTTTTACCTTCGCGAATTCAAGCCCTCTATCTTGAACTTTCAAACTCTCAATCTTCACTTTTATTCTAGCATAAAAAAAAGAAAAGAACGTGATTGATTGCACAATAATTACATGGCAAAAAATAGAGTATAAAAGACGAGAGTTAAGTTTAGAAAAACTTGAACCGTAATTGACGTCGATGTCAACTAATCTTAAAGAAAAATCTTACTGTGTTAATGTTGTGTAAGTTGTATACACTTTTTTAATCAAAACGCTGTTAACATAAGCAAGCCCTACTAGGTATATTTTAGGTAAGATGAGAGATATATTTTGAGATGTTTTTACAAGAGACATGTAACCAAGAGTATTCGAGGTGAGCTTTCGAAACGGTTAGCATATACTTCTTTTATTATTCACCGATGTTTATAGTTAAAATAAATGCTAATCACTGAAAAATACGTTCGCTGATTTCCGCGAGTCTTGCCTCCATTGTATCTTACAGCCATGCACAAATATGTGTTACTCATGTTTTTTTTTTAATCATTATGTACCTCGTAATATATTTGTTATCAATAACCTTTATTAATCACAATAATATATATTTTAACAGAACATTTATGAGTTTTTCTTTCGTACAATACCGCCGTAACCACGGTGCATTATTATAATATATATATATATATATATATATTTTCTTATTTATCAAGATTTATGTCCTCAATATCTAATTGTGAGATAGTTCCTTCAATTTAATCAAGCGTTAGTGGGAGTGGGCGTAGTCTGCTTTAATTGTAAGATAATCGACCGCATCCGAGAGACGTCCTTGGAAGTGCGAGACGACTTCGGATTGAATTCGCAGAGCTTGGCGATGCGCTCCCATTCGGTGCCTGGTTCGACTTCGTCCGCCTCTGCGACGAATTGCTTCTCTGCATTCCTATTTATGAAAAAATGCGCATTACACCAATGTGAAATTGTGCATCATATAATCGTTAGTAACATAATGAAATGAAAAATTATTTATATTTATATTTTATTTATAATTTTAGTGTCTTGATAAAAGATATAAATAAGTTTGTGTTGAACCAAGATCCTGTGCATAGATGCAATAATATCCAGATATATAATAAAATCTAGATATGCGACTCAATGCAAGAGTCGTTTACTTCACAGTTCTTTTTTATAACATTCCTATTGTACATACATAAGCATGTTAATGCTTCATTGCTTCAATTCGTATTTTTTATTCAAATTCTCAATGTGATCGAGATGATTGGCAAACATTCAAAGATTAATCAGTGCACTTATTTATCAGCATATGCATATTTCGCATATTGTAAAGCAAAGATAATCTTAAGAATAGTAACTTCGTCAAGCAACGTGTTGTTTGGTGCAATCTTTTATTAAAAAGCAATATCGCGGCAATTGAAACGGAAAAAGGGGAGAAAGAAAATTGTGTTTTTATATTACTGCTTCATTCTGGATAATTAGTGTTTGGATTCTCGATGCTGTGTAAGCGAGTCGTGTTATAATGCATGAATGCAATGCATGTTTTCATGCCTATAAAATATTTTAAACTTACTTGGCCGACTCCCTAAGAAGCGAAATGAAAATAATACAATTACATATATATATTAAAAACTTCAAAAGTTTGTAGCGTAAATTATTGGACTAATTATCGATATTAATATTGATATATACTTTAAATGATGATAACTTAGTCCAATATCTATTATACTTTTCGGTAAATTTTTAGTAAAACACATTGCATTTTCTGTCTTTGATATTATAAATAAGTGTAGCTTTGTTATATATTTCAATAACCTTGAAAGATACTAAACAACAGCTGCAATTCACTGCTTAGTTTGCCAATTTTTCGCGAAACAAAAATATAAAAGAAGAAAAGTAAAAACGATTCGTAAAATTACCTGTTAGTAGTTTTTGTTTTATTAATGGTTTCTGCATGATGCTTATACCATTCTTCTAATTCTTTCTTAGCTGCTTCTCTCCATTCTTCTTTCTTTTTTTCCTCTTCCGCATCTAAAACGTTTGTACACAATATTATTCAGATTATTTTTAAAATAATCATAACAAAAATGTTTTAGTAATATTTATTTTAATAATTAAATTGCAAAATTTTAATACCTTTCTCTTCAAGACGTGCTTTCTGTTCTTCCCTCCACTTCTTGATTTTTTCAGGTTCTTCTTTAGCTGGTGCAGCTACAGGTGACGATTCTGCCAGTACATTATACAAGTTAAAATTTAGGTATCAAATCGTCTTTAAAAAGTGATTAAAAAGAATTGGAAATATTTTGTACCTGCTGCAGATGGAGCTTGTATTTCCGTAGGTTGTCCAATGGTATCCACAATTTCAAAGCTGCCTTCTGCATCACCACCTGGGCCAACTTTTAGATTTCCAAATTTTCCAGATAGATCATCTGTAAGATATATAAAGAATACATTATAATAAGTAACAGAATTTTATAAATTTTATCAAACAGACAAATAGAAAAATTACTCTCTTATATGTTACATATTAAACTTAATTTACCATCAGATTGACCTGCTGCCGCTGCTGCAGCCAGAGTCACAGCCATCGGCGTAATGTCCTCCTCTAAACCAGCAAGCTGATCCTGTTCTCTGGCCAGAAACTCTGCCGCTGGATCCACTTCAGGCTCATTGACAAAATTGTCGCCAAACGCATCCATTGTCTATAAGAAAAATATTCTTTTGTCAAAAATAAAACGATTTATTCTCTGGATAAAGATTATTCTATTATTTGTGTTCAAGATAATATAAAGGTAATACAGCTAAAATATACTGTGTTTCAGAAGAAAAATATTAAATGTCATCGAGAATTCGATATTTGAGGTTAACGAATCAATTCCAGTCAAGCATTTATTCATCCGAGATATTGTTGGAAAATGTTTTCTATTTGCGATACTTACACGTGAGATGTAAATGTACAATCTTCAATTGGGAAAAATTATGGAATGTACAATGTCGTCGTTATCCGACGGAAACACCTCCTTACTTGCGTCAATTTCTCTCTCAGATCCTTGGTAAACGTCAATTGTAGAACACTACTCACTACTTGAGATACGATACTTCTGTCTATTCATGCAGTGTGAATCTACCGTAAAAATGACATCTTGCTAGAGAAATTATTATTATCTTGCCCTGGAAATCTAGGGTTCCTAGAATTCACTAGCGCCATCTAATGTAAATCAGATTAAAATTTAATGCCAATCCAAATTGTTGCGTCGGTAAAAATGTAAATTACTTTTTTCCTATAAATCGCTACCATTTCGCGAAAGAAGCGCTTCGACACTGCAATTGACTGCAATTGTAGTTGTCGATTGCGTCTTCTTGCGCGTAGAAGTCGTCGTAGTACTAAATAAAGTTGCTTTTTTCGGTGATAGAAGAATGCTAATATTGTGATCGTCGCGACGTCGACCTTACGTGCCTCTCTATCGCTCGACCGACATCCTGTTCGCAAAATCATGTGTTTTGTGTGCACGTAGCACCACACGCGAATCTCACCGATTATTGCCATTCGATTGCTGGAAAAAACGGATTTTGTGGTACTTCCTCTAATTGTGTCCTGCAGGAGGCAGAAAAATCGAAACTTCCTCGTGCCAGAGGGCTGAGCCTGCCCTTCTCCTATCAAAAAGTGAGTGCAATTTTCGTCCAATTCGCTATATGCATGAATGAAAGGGAGGGGAAATTAATACTTTAATTAAATGTGTATTTAATTATTGAAATATCAAAATATATAAAGAGGAAAACGAGATAGAATACTAAATAGAAAGATTATGTTAGTGTTGGTTAGGAAATTAGAATTGGATGATGTGTTATTATGCGAATGGGCCATAAACGGAGTGACGTATAAGACAGAGAGAATGTGTGTGTGTGAGAGAGAAAGAGAAGAAGAGAAAGAAGAAACATCGCACAACAGAATTTAATAATTATTCAAATATAGTATGCAAATCGAATAATAAGGAGGTTATGTTGGTAAGAGACATAAGGTTGGATGATGTGTAAGTGCGTGAATGGGCATGATATACGTGTGATAAGCGAAGTGACGTAGTGTTATTGTGAGCAAAGGCGATTACAATTGGGATTAGATATGTAATGTGTTACAGAAGAGTTAAAACGGATGATAATAAGGAAAAAACGGTAAGAAATTAGTGAAACTGATTAACGAGATCGTCGTGCGATTGTACGAGTGGAGAGGTGCCTGAGGCGATAAATAGTATGACGTAGTAAAGTTATAGGAAAGAGAAAGAGAGAAAGAGAGGGAGAGAGAGAAAAAAGGGAGAGTGATTTATTATAGCTCGAATGAATTAATTATTGGAAAGGAAAAAGGAAAAGTGACACTTCGAAAAGGGGGAGATGATAAGATGACGATGTATAATGTTACATCGTTAAAAATATTAGATAAATATAATGACGCGCTTGTGAAGCATTATGAATAGAATGACGTGTAAATGTTACAAGATAGTGAGAATGAGAGGGATAGGAAAGGGGGAGGGGGAATTTATTTTTGTTCGGCAGGCTCGTCTGGTGTAAATATGAAAGATGCAAGGATGCGTTTGTTAATATAAATTATTGCAGGACGTATAAATGTGTGATTTAAAATTAAAATTAGTTAAGAAATCTAGTGTTGTGAAAAATTCTATTATATTTTCGATTTTCACGAAGAACTTCGACTTGAATTTAATTCTGAAGAATAGTCGCAAAAAGCAAATATTACGCATGATTGCACGTGTCACACCTATGCATATTTATCATTCATTACGTATCTAAGTATACTTTGATCCCAATATTCTTGAGAACGTAGAAAAAGTCGTTAACGTTCGCTTAATAATTCCGGAATAACTTTGCATGAGTTGCAACTCAACGTTCTTTTCGCGCGTTAATATTTTCTTATTGTTTATATTAATACCTATGTCACGGAGTTAATTGCTGCCCGCGTGAACAACGTTTATATCTCGCCGATTTTTTTATCACGTATGTACATGATTTCTGACATTGTTTGTCGTAGTTCTCACACATATTGTATATACGTGCTTACGTCAGACGTTATGCTATCTAATTGCTTTAGAAGTCGTATAGTAATCGAATAATTTCTGAAAATATTTACAAAATCCTTGCATCCTTTTTATCACACGTGTGTCTGGATTATAACACAATATATTGCTGAATTAATATTAAATTATGCAAGTTGAAATTTTAATCACAAATATAAATTATAATGCAATGAATATACAAATATGAGTATAAACTCCTAGGTGTAATTAAAAATTATAATTATGCATATTATTTTAAAATTGTTAGGTAGTATTTGGTTGCGCAGATTGATTATTTTGTTGCTTGCAAACATAAAAATATCTATGTGAAAAATTGAATATATGGATGTTCTTAGGAACCTCGAAAGATGAGTAGGACAAGAGAACAAGCGGGTCCGTCTAAGCCGTCGGGCTCCGCGGAGGAAAAGGAGAAGGATGACAGGATGTTTGAGTGTAATATCTGTCTGGACACCGCAAAAGATGCGGTAGTTAGTATGTGCGGTCATTTATTCTGGTAAATGCTGGTTTGATAACTCAATACATATAAAAAATAAATATTTGTATGATAATTGAGATAATATAATTCGTAATATAGTTGGCCGTGTCTGCATCAGTGGTTAGAGACCAGACCGACTAGACAGGTGTGTCCAGTGTGTAAAGCTGCCATAAGCAAAGATAAAGTCATTCCATTGTATGGACGTGGGGCCACAAAGCATGAGGATCCAAGGTAAAAATTGTTTCCGTCGTCGAAAAGAGAGAATTAATTATACATTTTAATTGCATTAATTACAAACGAAGGAAATTATATTATTCGTATTTGCACATTGTAACGCAAGGAATATCTTGTAGTTTCTTTCGCTTTATATCAGAGGAAAATTAAATAACACAATTCACATTCCCAATTAATGAAACGATTTCATTTAGGAATAATGTGCCACCACGCCCAGCTGGCCAGAGATCGGAGCCAGAAGCTAACGTTGGTTTCTCCGGTTTCGGTTTCGGCGACGGTTCCTATATGTCATTTGGAATCGGCACTTTTCCATTTGCTTTCTTCACGTCGACTTTTAATTTCGGAGAAACGCGGCCTAGCGCAGGTAACAATTATTACAAATTCACGCTAATACAATTTGCAAGTAACAAATATATACATATATACATAATTGGTGCATGCATAGTAATAAAAAAAATGCAGTTTTATTTAATTTATATAACTTATTTTATAAATTTATATAGAAAGAAAGTATTTAGCAGCTTACATCTAATATTATGAACATGATGAAAATATTTGTGTTCTTTTCTAATTAACGCTAATAAACAAATTAAACAATAAAAGTGTGACGTATGTGTGACGTGTCTTATAGTCTTATTTTATATTGTTTTTAAACGTAATAAAGTTGTGATTAACTCGATATTTTTACGATGATTAAGATAATTTGGAAGACAATTTATAAAAGAAAAATAAATTATTTACTTTTAGCTCCCAGAGGCACGCCACAATACGACGAAGAGCAGTTCTTATCTAAGGTATTTTTGTGGTTAGCAATACTATTCATCTGTTGGCTACTGATGGCGTAACGCTGTTCCTAAATTATATACCAGTCTACCCTGCAACGTGCAATACTTTGCTTTATTTATAATATTTTGTTGGTCTATGATAATCGTAACAATTACATTAGTTTTCGTAAATTCTCCTTGAAAAAAAAAATATATAAATTTATTTTTTATGTCTGCGTGAATCCATAACATTAAAATGTTACATCTCATTTTCGCTGCTAAAAAGAAATAACAGATCAAGCGTTTTTATCTTGCAAATTTTTTTTACACAATTTTGTCTGCATTTGCGTTTGATTTCTCTCCGATTTAGACAGCTCTGATATTTCTTAATATTGCACACACACACATATATATATATGTATATGTGTATATTCATATATATTATATATAAAAATATATATTATTATATATTTCATATATATCATATATAATATATATAAATATATATTATTTCCATAGAGAGAAGAGCGCGTAAGCTGCCCAACATATTTAAAACATAACGATATGTAATTAAGGCTATGTTTCCTTATTACAGTCATATTAAATTGACAGAAGAGAAATTATAAAATTTTTTTGCATTAAAATAAATACATTTCTTCGTACACTCCCATTTATGTTAATATAGAAACTATACAAAACACCCTTTTCTATTAAAGAATATAGAATTCCTTTATGGAAATCTATGTAGAATTCTATCTACATGCGTCACAAACATTCCCAGTAAAAATGGATTTCGTAACGTGCGAAAAAAATTTATTTTGATGTTAGTGTAAAAAAAAATTAATATGATTTCTCGCTTCTGACGGCGCAGTTCAATATGATTTCAACGAGGGACTAGCTTTAAACGAGAATACAGAGAAAGAGAGAATACTAATGTATATCGTTAAAATAGATTGTGCGGTTTTTTGGGAAAAACCGCATTTGAACAGTGTATATATAATCTAGATTTTAAGTTAAGTTACTACGTATGCTTTTGATGCCTTGTAATATAACGCGATGTAAAAATTTAATTTTCTGAGAATATCAGCTTTTTAATTCAGTGATCTGAATTTTTATTTTTCTTTGCTGCGATTCCGCGTATATCAATTTCCATAAGGGTTTTGTCAATGGTAAATTGAATTATGCCCGTTTTAACTATATTTTATTAGAAAACATTAGCAGAAATGTGCTCCTTACATATTTTCTTTCATATTTTTAATTTTCAAGAAATAAAATGAAGATAATTTACCGTTGGTATCATTTATATATATTCGTACATACATTTTTAGATTAATTATACATTTTTGAACTTATATAAATAAATTTATGTATATTAGGATATATAATTATATAAACAATGTAAGTAAAATTATATATATTGGTATATATATATATTGGTATATATATATATATATTGCAGTTGTAAGTAAATATCAGTTTTAATTACAAGCATTTTATTTGCATAAATAATACAAAGAAAATGTAATATTTTAATTTGTTTGGAATTTTTTTTCCTTAATTGCATATTAATATTATTCTGCAACTTGTTAAATTTTAAAGAAGAGAATCTTGTATATTTTCTATAGAAGCTTTGATTTTGGATTATATTAATACTATTTAATCTATTAATAGTTTTTATTTGATTTTACATCGATAAATTGACGTAATTAGGTCAAGTGTTTCTGCTATGATAAGAATTTTGCCATGCAATTAATGGAAATAAAGAATACAGTATAAGAGGCTTACAAGCTGTGCCGTGATGTACAATTCCATCATGTTTGTGGATCTAGCGTCTTTATCACAGATTGCAGCTCTGCAGGAGATACATACGCACTCCCCTTTATTAATGCATCAAAGAGAGGATAAAGATTAAAAAAAGATAGCAATCCTGAGACCGTTCACTACTTTATGCAATATATCGCTTACTCTTGTATTACACATGACTTTTGGATTTTGAATATCTACAGTATGTGTATCTAAATACTTTAAAAATTATCATTAAGTACAAGATAAAATAAACATCATGAAGCGCGGCATAACAATCTTAGTAATTAGAAATAACTTTTAGGAACAAGTTTGCTCCCTACAATTACTTGTGACCAATTTCGACAGGCTATTGCTCTTATTACAAGAAGCATGTTGGCTGGAAAGCTTACATCTCGTCCTTATTGTCTTTGGATTTCTTAACGAAACCTTTTGAGGCTAGTAGATCATTACATTCTTCCCGTGTCAACCTAGACAATACCAATCTCTCCACTTCCTGTAATATTTTTTTCAGATATTAATGGTAACATATTGTGCTATATTAGGTTAGTATTACTTATTTTAGTATTAAAGTTTCATCAATTCCCAAACCTCTTCATGTTCATTGAATAACACGAGCTCTGGTATTGCACCTTGAATATGTTTGAATTCCACATTATTGCTGTATATATATTAAGGAAAATCTCTAAAAAAAACTTCAGTGATATAAAGAAATAAATAATACAAAAAAATTTACATATTATTTTTCTATTCACTATTTTAATGCCAATCAATATTAAATTAAAATTTAAAACATACTGTAACAATAATTCCTAAATAAATTGTTTATAATTCTTATATTTTATCAGCTCACAGATTATTGGATTTCAAAAATTGAAAAATATAGTTCTGTCATCTATTTATATGTCTGAAACTTAATTTATGAAAAGATCCTTATGTTTGATCGCTAATTGGTAAAACTATTGGATTATCTGATTAGATATCTGACCATATCTGACTTCACATTTTAGGAATCTGCTCTTAGATAATTAGATAGACATAACATAAAACATAAAGCAAATCGTTATTTTATATTGATTTTATAAAATAAGAGCTGTAACAAAAAATATACAAAAGCGAAAAATAAAAATCACATTTGTAAGGGAACACCGTAAAGGATACTATTGTGGCAAGTCCTCGAAAATAAACTGCTTGACGTCTGGCAGCCGATTAAGCGAACAACCGCTGCAGCTCTAAAAATTGCAAAAAACAAAAATGTCATATATTAGACATAACTACGATCTCTTGACATATAAAATTTAATTCAAATGACAAGTATATTTCGAACAGAATAATCATATCACTATTATTGCAATGCAGAAGTTTGTCGCATCGTGGCGCGTTTCAATAAATAATCATATTGTCTGTATTCGATTTAATAAACATAAAACATGCATTACCTCTACTCTTGCAGATGCATAATAACCGCTGGAATTTACAGAAGAAATGGAAAAACTAGCAAGTGCGAGCGCGAGTGCGAAGAAATAGCTGACAACTGTGCGGGACGCCATGTTTGATTTTCGATCTTGTAACAAGAAGTAGACGTCAATACTTTGGGTCGTCCATTGCTTCTTTCTAATCCATTGTTGATAACGGATATATTTTTTCTAATTAAACTGCATTTTTTTTTTAGATGTTTTATCACATTCAAGAAGTATTTATAACCCATCACATCCAGGATTTTTTTTACAGTATACTATCTAACAGTGATCAGCAGTGATACATCAAAACTGCTGCTTTACCATCACTATTGCCGCACATGAAAACCGGTCCGTTTGATACACTGACTGTGTTCCGAAATTCACTACCAGTACTAAAAATCTATAGTTTACGTCGCGTATATTGTAGATTTTCAGTACTGACAATGAATTTCGGAACGCAGTCACTGAAGTTGCGCGACAATTGTACGATAGTGTAATACAAAAAGAGGTTAGAAGTGACGGATTAAATACAAGATATTTGTATAGAAGAAAGTTTAAACAAAGAGATTAGAGAGAAATCTAACCAAGTCAAAACTCCGAAGTTTTGATGCTAAAAAACCTAAAAGAAATAGATTGAAGATACTCCAAAAGATAAAAAAGAGCATAGCACGAAAAAATGGCGCTCTCTTGTGCGAGTGAGTATTTACTACATTGTTAAAAGATGTACAATAATTTATGACCAAACTAATATTTCTTTTGTTTTATTTTTGTGTTTATATTTATGTAGTAACATTTAAAACGGAATTAAATTTGTTGTCGAAGATCTTAAAGTTTTGTGCCGGCAAAATCACATAACCTAAAAACGTAACCTAAACGTGTTATATTAATGAACATGATAAAAATCTGATAATAACAATGTAATAATAATACAATACTTTTGCTATAAAGAGAGAGAGAATTTTATGCATAAACGAGTTTGTTATACTCTTGTTATTATAAATATAATTATTTAATTAGCATTTATATATATTATAAACTTTAATTTAATATGTTGATCAAAATCATTTTTTTGATCAATATATTAAATTAAAGTTTATGAGATATATTAAAATTCTAAATATAATAAAATCTAAAATTTATTATAAGAGCTATTTTGTATTTTGCAATTAACAGTTTCTAATGAAGTGCCAGAACATCCAGTAGTATCCCCTGTTTCTGGATCAATATTCGAGAAACGTCTCATTGAGAAATATGTGTCTGAGAACGGAGTAGATCCTATTAATGGCAAAGAACTCACTATTGAGCAACTTATTGATATCAAAGGTACTTTTAAATCTAATTTTTTCATATAAAATGCTTATATAATTATCTACACATTTACAGAATTGTTTTCTTGTTGCAGCAACTCCAATTGTCAAGCCTAAACCACCTAGTGCAACTTCCATTCCTGCAATATTAAAAATCTTGCAAGATGAATGGGATGCAGTTATGTTACACTCATTTACATTGCGACAACAACTTCAGACTGCAAGACAGGAATTGTCTCATGCTTTATATCAGCATGATGCAGCTTGCCGTGTGATTGCCAGATTGACTAAGGAAGTTACTGCTGCCAGAGAAGCTTTAGCTACTCTGAAGCCACAAGCTGGAATTGTTCAAGCAACCGCAATTCCACAACCTGTATGTTTTCATACTTTTTATTATGATAATTCTTAAATCGGAAATTGTAAATATTTTTGTAATTTTAATTCAACAAATATTTCATTTTTTATGTTTGTATATTATATATATATTTTTATATTTGTGTTCAAAGTATCATGTTTAAAATTTTACAAATTTAAAAAAAAAATTATACCTTGGCTTTTATATATTGACAATTTTAAATTGTATTTTTTAATTAGTTATTATTAATTTATATTTTCCTTTTTAGGCTGTAGCAGTGGAAGCTGGTGGCACAGCTGCCCAACCAATGGAACAGGCTGGCATCACTGAGGATGTGATTCAAAAGCTTCAAGAGCGGGCAACTGTTCTCACTCAGGAGCGAAAGCGACGTGGACGCTCGGTGCCGGAAGATCTGATGCCACAGGATAGTATACGGTCATTCCAGACACTTGCATCGCATCCAGTAAGTTTTTACTTTTTATATATCTTTCAAAATTTATTATTGCAAAATTGAATATTATAAATACTAAAAATAATATTAAAATTAATGGCAGAAAGTATATTAAAATATAGTTTTAATAATAAGCATATAATAATTAATAACAAATATATAATAGTCCTGGCTTTAACATTATAGAAATAAAAAGAGAAAAAGTAGATATTATTATATTAAGAACAATTAAATAATATTATGTAATTCTAGGGACTTCACTCTGCCAGCGTGCCTGGAATCCTAGCGCTCGATATTCATAGTGCTGATACCAGCAAGATTTTAACGGGTGGCGCCGATAAAAATGCCACTGTGTTTAACAAGGACACCGAGCAAGTGGTGGCAATTCTTAAGGGTCACACTAAAAAGGTACATTATCATAGTTTGATTGCTATTTCATTATTCTAATATTAACTTTTTTCGTAGGTTACACGCGTCATTTATCATCCGGAGGAGGATATAGTGATGACAGCTTCGCCGGACAGTACGATTCGTGTGTGGAATGTTGGTACCAGTCAGACAACGTTGTTACTAAAGGCTCACGATGCTCCAGTAACCGGATTATCTTTACACCCGACCGGCGATTATCTGCTAAGCTCATCGCTGGATCAGCATTGGGCCTTTTCCGATATACGCACTGGCAGATTACTGACTAAAGTACATTTCAATCCTTGTATCATTATTAAATCCACGAAGTCGTTTAAATCTTTAAAAAGGAAATAGGATAAAATTAAATTTCTACATTTGACATAAAAGGATGTGTTTGAATTGTTTGAAGGTGGCAGGACAACAAGGACAGCCATTGACGACAGCGCAATTCCATCCCGACGGCTTGATTTTCGGTACCGGTACGGCGGATTCACAGGTGAAGATTTGGGATTTAAAAGAGCAATCTAACGTGGCAAACTTCCCGGGTCACACGGGCCCAATCACAGCGATTAGCTTCTCTGAGAACGGATATTACTTGGCGACAGCAGCAGAGGACTCGTGCGTCAAACTTTGGGACTTGCGCAAGCTAAAAAATTTCAAGACACTACAGTTGGAGGAATCTTACGAAGTGAAGGATATTTGTTTCGATCAAAGCGGAACTTATTTGGCTGTCGCTGGAACAGACGTCAGGTAGCATTTTAAACTCTGTTAAAAATTTATTTATTCATCTTTGACAATTGTCTTCATTTTTGAAAAATATATCCGAATTGAAAATCTTACTTCATGGTCAAAATAGGTAAATCAAATGTTTGATCAACATTTTTATTTTCAGAGTATATCTTTGTAAGCAGTGGCAAGAATTGAAGGTTCTGAACGATCATACAGCTGCGGCTACAGGAGTTCGTTTCGGAAAGCATGCACAATATATCGCGTCTACCAGCATGGACAGGACATTGAAGCTCTACGGATTATCATAATTAATTAGGATTTTATATTGCATTTATTAATAATAAAGTATAACAAGAATTGCTTTATAATAAAATAACATTTAATTTAACAATTTAACGCCTAGTGTAAATACCATGCCAATTCACGATCGGATGTCTTCGATTTCGTCTCAATTATTATCTATATTGTTATTGAAAAAAGGAAAGCACAGATCGCTGTCTCTAAGATTCTCCTCTATCCACTTGTCTGCTTTGGCATCGATTTCCGGAGTGAATGTATCTTTCCAACCGCCACTGCCACCTTTTCTAACGAAATTGCCTGGTTTTATGATGCCACATGCTTTCAATTCGGAATAGTTGACCATTGGATTATCCTTAAAGTTCTTAATGTGCAGGTAAGTCGATAGCTTATCCAATTGTTCATCAGTATATATTTTGTTCAGGAACTTTGCTACCTTTCTGACCGCTGTCGGAAAATCCTGTCGGAAAATTTTCTCCAATGTGTATCACATAAAAATCAAAGCAGCGAAAGCTCAGATAATAAAATTCTTTATTATTTAGTAAATTAATTATTCACTGTTTATTTAAATAATCTTGGAGTTTAAAATACAGATGTGAAAAGAATATTTGTTATTATTTTAAAAAAAGATATGCATATAAATAAATGTATACAACGTAATTAAATCTACATTTTATATCTTCCACAGAAATAAATTTGCTGTAAGAATCTTAAGAATCTTTGATATATTTTATCAATTTATGCTACACGAGCAGTGCAACTTATTTTGATACATAAAATGCAAAAAAAATGGAAATTTTTCTCGCTTTTAGAATTGCAATGAAGGACTCTCTCTCTCTCTCTCTCTAGCAATGCTAATATATTAAAAACAGTAAAATTGCATTGACATACTTACATGTGTCATTTCTTCGTAGAACATAAATAGAAGATTTGGATGATTCTTTAGCGCCCAGGCTTCCTTCAAATGAGTCCAGTATGGACTCCAAGGTGCTGGAAAAAATATGTCAAGTGTGTTAAAAGTTAAATATTTACGACAAAATACAGTTTCTGAGGATATCTAACTTACTGAGGTCATTTTGAAAATAATCCCAAAAGGTGGAAAAATCTCCTATGTATCCTTGCGTTTTAATCGCCTTGTTCAAATTGTACCATGAAACAGCAACGTCCTTCGGATTGCGAGCCACGTAGACGACCTTCAGGAAAAGCAAAAGTTATTGGCAATGAAATTACCGATAAATTCTTTTTTTTTCGCTATTACCTTGCACCCGACATCTAAAAGTCCCGGCAGCATGCTGAAAGGAAAGTGGGTCTTGATGAATCTAGGTGATGGCATCTGGGCGACGACCTCGTAGCCGGGTTTGGTTATCTCGCGGCATAGCTGCTGTTTCGCTTCATCGTTCTTGTTCATCTCCAGGAATTCGCGCGTCACCTCGGGATGATTGAACAGGCTGAATCTGAAAAGTATGCAGGTATAAACATGACAAAAAGAAAAAGAAATATTACCTGCAATCTCTTACAGTTTCAATTCTCAAAACTCTTGGGTCTCTCGTGTCCTAGCGATTTCAATTGCTAAAGATTTCACGAAAACCTGCACATACTTGTAAGCGGATCCCCTATGAGAAAAAAGTTAGTAATACGATTACTTTAAGGCCAGAAGGCCAGAGCGATTGAAATTGGCCGAAAATATGAAAGATTTCGCCATATCATGAGTTCGGTTTTCGTTGACCAAAACTGGAATGACTTTGAAAAACATGTTTTTTGATGTTCAAAATAACTTTTTGCCAATTTCATTATTTGGAGATTTAATTAACACTTCAATGAAGTACGTAAATTTTTTGAGCACATTGACATTATTTAATAAGGCATCAGCACAAGAGACCCATATAAAACCGGTTTAACCGAAAACAATAGTTTGTTTGGTGAACTAATTATGTGTGAAACGTGACCATAAAATTATAAAATTTAGTCATAAAATTGTATAAGAATATAATTACAATGCAGTCAATTTAAATGCATAGATAACATATCTTACAGTTATTTGTTATATCTTGCAATCTACTTTTAAAATTATAATTAGAATAGGCTTATTTATAATTAAATACAGAGCTAAGTATAACGACAAAACTGCTGTTCAACAAATGGCCTTCGCATTAATTTTAAAACAGATTTCTGACCAATAGGAGAGAATCACATTATTTTTCTTTAGCGAAAATGTGTCAAAGAAAGTCATAATTTGTCGTAACTTTCTAATTTTTATTATCATGTGCATCTTCGTAACTAAATTTCAAATCAATTGTATTAAAATCCTTGAATTTAACTGAAGAATACGTGTTTTATTGTCCCGCTGAAGTTTAATTTACAAGTTTTTATTCTTCAATCGTGTACAATTCAAATACTCGATATTGTCGCTGAGAAAAAATCAGCTCGAGGTCTGTCAGCAAAACTGTCATTAAAATTAAAAGTCGTAAATGGGATACATTGCGTATTGCAAGTGTATTATTGCGAAATGTAGTATTTTCTGATTCATTTTGCAATGTGGCATGTAACACACGGCTGTCACGCGATATAACGTAATACCGCACAATTTAATTCATTTGATATTATGTTTCGTGCGATAATGCTGGCGGTAAACAATCTAAGAGAAATCCTTCCGGATGTTGCCACACGTAAATGAAAGCGAGAACGATAAATTGAAAATGAAATATTTATATTATATCCGCGCGAGGGAAATGTACGAGCGCGTATTTATTTCTACATGAGTTTATTTTTATATCACCGCACTGACTCGAGAAAGGGGAATCTCTCAGCTAAAAAACGTTTTCCCGCGGCTTCAAAATCCAAGTTATTTGATAGCAGCCAAACCAATTCTAACGTCCATGTTGTCCCTAAAAAGAGAAAATATTAACATTTATCATGTAATAAGTATTTCTTATCATGTCATAAAAAAAGATAACTTTTATCGTTTAATTTTTATCACTTAAAGTTGTTGAACTCTTATCATTCAAACACAGTATACAGATTCCATAAATAAAAAAATAAATATAAATCGATGTTTGACCTAAAAACAAGAAAAATAAAATATTATCTTTTATTTAATCAATGAGACTAATTTTATTAAAATAAACAAACTGCAAACAAAAAATAAAAATTGCGATTATCGTATTCTTTTAATTTGCCTGAATTGACACATTACATTCACTGCAGTTTTTTTTAAACAAAACCAATTTTATTATTTAACTGTCATGCTGTGTAATTAAAAGCTATATAAAAAACTAAATTGAAAGACGTCTAAAAATTAAGGCTTATTAATTATTAGAAATTATGTAGAAAATATCTGAGAATTAAAGTTAAAAATATTGTAACAATGATTTTCTGATGTTTTTAAACTATGGCCATACACAAAAAATATTTATATACAAATAAATCATTCTTTTCACCAATATTCCATTGATGATAGATCGATACAAACCTGATCTTGGATAAGATGCCACCCAGGTGTCATCCGGCCGAGCCTTAAAATTATAGAAACCTGCACCTTGCTGTATATAATTAGATGGGAAAAAGTACTTTTCCGGGCCCACCAGCACCCAACCGGTTCTTTCTCCTTTAAACAGCTCCAACATTTCCTTCGTCTTCTCCTTTGACAAGAGCTCGTACTTCGGAGCCTGCTCTGCCATGTCTTCTTGCAAACTTATTTCTTCCAATTAATCCCTATTCGATTTGATCCACTCGTTGTTTAATCACAATTAATGATAAATGCTGAAGAGCCCAATGTTTCTTAGCACCGCACGGTCGAATCTCCAGATACAAAGTGAACTTGCGTTTCCTTTTCAGCGAGACCCCCGTCCTTCCTGCCTCGATCACTGCTATTAGCGTTTCCGTAGACGTGTTGCGAAACCACTGATGATAAAACGCGAATCAGTGCGAGTTTTACAGAATTAATCAATATATCGATCGGAATTATGAATTAAAGAAATGTTACAGTGTAGTTTCTGATGCCAAGATGGAATGGTAATCGTGATACTTAATGACATTAGCTGAAAATAATTTCGTTCTATTAATTTACGTTTTAATAATATAAAAATAAATTATCATACATAAACACTCCCGTGTTTTTATCAAGCAACCACTGATCGCGTAAGCGTGCTTCGGGTATAATCTTTAGGTACTAATTATCAATCAAATAACAGCAAACAGTTAAAAGTTCCACTAGTAGGATCCAGAAGTGATACATTTTTCGGACTTTAGAAATTTAGGCCAGTCGGTTGTGACTTTCACCTATTTGCATTGTCTCGTTCTCTTTAAAAAAAAAGCGATTCAGATAGCGATTAAGATAATCTGAGAAAAATCAGAAAAGAGCTTTATATATGTTTAACTTAAAAATGCTCATTATTTATCTATTTTTTTGCAAGAAACGTAAAAAGTTTAACTTTTAAATAATAACATTAGGAGAATTAAATAGGAGACAAATTGACGAGATTAGAAAAAAAAATAAACAAAGTAAATTTTATTATGGTTATTGATTTATTGCATAAATATAATATAAAACTTATTTTCAATATATATAAATATGATATAAAACTTGTTTTACAATATACAAATAATTGTATAAAAAATAAAGATTATATAAAACACTTATATAAAATCATTGGCATTTTATCTTAAAACAAATATAGGTAAAAAGATCGAACAACAATTGTCTGACGATAGAAACTTATCCGTAAATTATAATAGTCTACATCTACGTGTAAACAATATAAACTATGTGTAACAATGTAACATGTAATTTATGTCAACAATAAGTAATCTATGGCTTATAATTTGACGAAGATTTTCTTTATATTTCTTATGTTGCATGCTTTAAACATAAATACACAATTTTATTTTACCACGAAAAATCAACAGAAGATTTTGTGAATTTAGATTTTATACCAGTAAAAGGAAAATAAATATTGCAACAATTGCAATAATTTCAAAATAAAATGTACAGAGTGTGATAAAAATTTCAGTGTCTCAATTGAAAAATATTTGAACGTTCATATAAAACACAAGATACAATATGAAACTATTATAAAAACCCTATTATAAATACCCTATTATAAATACCCAATTTTAGGGTTACTTGCAAATTGTATTACAAAAATATGAAAAAAAGAATTCCAACCAAAAACCAAGTCGCGAAAAAAATAAGAAATTTTTATTCTGATCTTGTAATCAATACAGATCAAAATGATCAATCTGGCACATTGTGAATATCGCACAAATGTGCAAGACATAAAAATAATATTTTTTTATATAATAAAATAAAAAAACGAACTAGATTTACCGACCATATTGATGTATAAAAATTATTCTAATTGAAAACCAAAAAAATTGGGAACACATCAAATCTATGCACAAATGTTCCGTCTGCGCGAACGGTCTCAACAGTCTCATCTTGTTTACTTTTTACCAAAAAATTAAATTCTAATCACAGAAATAAATAAAATAATTGTCACAGAAAATTTAATCAGATGTGACAATATGAAAACACACAAAAAAAAGTGTAAGTTTTAATAATGAGGAGATTCTAGAATAAATAAAATTCGAAAAAGAAAAATTACCAAAAAAATTCAAGAGTACAAGTCTAGATTTTTTTATGCTTTTGGAAAAAAGACTTATTATAGAGAATATAAGTTTCCCAAAAGTGAGTTTTTGCAGTTACAATACTTTTTATCGATTAATATTAACAGAAGCGTAAACAGAGAGAGAGAGAGAGAGAGCCACAATGCGAGATCTTCGTGCGAAAGCTTATGTATTTACATTTGAAGATAACATGTATTTACAATCTAAACGTTTCGGCCTGATATCAGGCCTTCCTCAGTGGAAGAATATAATTAAAAATCGTACGTAGTAGTTAGACAGAAAAAATGTAAATCATATTAAGCTTGAGATATGCTACGCATATATTCTAGCATACTCTAAACGAGCATCTTTTAAAGCACGACGGTATTCGAAATTATAAATGTCCCGAATGCCCGAAGAGCTTCTTCTATTCTCCAACGAAACGGAATTTTATATTGTATTGAAATAAATTCATCCGTGTTTATGCTGATCAGAAAACAATTAAGATGAATCAGAGCGAATAAACAAAAAACCAAATCGTTTTACTGTTAAAATGTTAGTCAATTTTTTATCATTCTTTTCACTGATACACTCATGTGCACTCTTTTACTTAACTTTGTGACAGTGTTGTTCGATCTTGTTGTTTTACACACTTATTCAGCAACTTCCCATGAGAAGTCCCATGGGAAGTTGCTGAAACTAATTAGCTGCCATTTTTAAACACACATGAGAAGCAAGAAAAATAAAATATTTTCTATCACATAAACTAAAAATAATCGAAGATATTTTTATTATTAAATACACATAAAAAAAATGCCCAATTTTGCTAATTTTAATGGTACGCACCATCAGAATTATAACAAAAAAATTAAATCACTTTTGAAAACTATAAAAAACTTTATGCAACAAAAGTTACAGTTATAGTTATAATTTTCGAAATTGACAAGCAAAAAACATTAAATGCAACATGTGTTACACGAAATATTCAAGACGCGATAAGTCAAGACGCGGTAAAATATGTATAGAAATTTATGTATTGTTTTCAAATCTTTTCCGATGTGCAATACATGCACAACTAGAGATATTTTGTGTCCAATTTCTAAAAAAATATCTTACTACACTATAAAATAAATTTGTTTAAATATATAATTACAGCCAGATGTCTTCTTCTTTGGCTCGATGAAACGGACTAGATTCTTTCTTATGGATAAGTCTTCATTCTTTCTCCTTGATTGATGATTTATAAAACTTGCACTTTTTTTTGTGTGCTTTCATATTGTCACGTCTATTAAATTTTCTGTGACAATATGAACATTCATATCTGTAAATAAAAAAAAAAATTATATTTATTTGCATTATTTAAAATAAGAATAATCCTGATTAGATTCTAATCACGATTACATTGTTGTAATTGTATCAAGATAATATATTTTAATTGTGTTAAAAGACGTTTCAATTATTATTTCGATTAAAATAACTGCATTGGAATTCTTTACATTTATCCTATTTAATTTTAATTTGTTCGATTAAATCTTACAAAGAGAGAGAGAGAGAGATATCTTACTTAGAAGGACCATGCGTATTTTTGTGCGCAGCAAGATGAGACTGCTGAAAGAAGCTCTTCGGGCATTCGAGACATTTATAATTTCGAATACCGTCGTGCTTTAAAAGATGCTCGTTTAGAGTATGCTTAGTTTTATAAATATTGGAGCACTTTGTACATTTGTACGAAGCATCACTATGAACCTGTAATATTAACAAACATAATTAATAAAACGCTTACTGTAACTTCTTTTAAATTTGTCAAAATGTTCGATAAAATATTAATGCGCTATATTAAAGAAATCCTATAAATTAATAGAATCTTCAATAAATAATGTATGACAGCTTTTTTACATTTATATGACTCCTTAAAGCTTTCTTCGACTGGAACGTCTTATTACATATATCACAAGTGTAATCACATGCGTGCATCCTCTTTTTGTGCTCATCAAGGTTCTTTAAGTTTGACAATCGAGCCCCGCAAACATCACATAGCACATAATTCTTGTTGTGCGTATTACGCATGTGCGCACGTAATGTCGATTTTAAACTCTTGCCACAAATTTTACATAAAATATTCTGTAATAATGTAAAAAGTCATTTAATTTATTTAATTTTTATAATTATATGTTAGCATTGCAAATTCAATAAACAGTACGTGTACTTTTTATCTATTATCATATAGTTATAACACGATAAAGTTGATTCACCTTGCTCGACTTGTGGACATTTATATGATTGCGTAAACTCTGTCGGCTGGTGGTAGAAAATTTGCACGCATTGCATTTGTACGGTCGTTCGCCGGTGTGAGTATTTTCGTGTTCTCTCAAAAGTACAGCAGTCGTATATTGTTTCCGGCATACGTTGCAAGTGAATGGTTTAATTTTTAAATGACTCTTTCTGACGTGGCACCGAATATTGCTAACCGTTACAGTAGCAAAGTTGCATTTTGTGCATTTGTACGGTTTTATATTCAAATGTGACATAATGTGCACCTAGAAACAAATTCCAATCGAAAAATATAAAAAAATCAATAAAATTATTTTAGAAGATCTAATAAAAATCTTAAATTAATTTAATCATTAGATTATCGATTCAGAAACTCTTAAATATTATATAAATTATTAAATAAAGATTTTTAATGATTTAAAAATTAATCATTAAAGATCTATTTGTTAAACTACAGTTAATAAATTAAATGTTTAAATGTAAATTAAAGTTTTGAATAGATTATTAACAAATGTAAATCTTTGCTATTATCTAAAATCATGACAAATGCATGTATTGCATATCGTAAAAGATTTGAAAAGAGACTTTTTACATAAATTTCCACATATATTTACCTCACACTTATCGCGTCTTAAATATGTCGAGTCACAAATCTTGCATTTTATAATGTTTTTTGATTTTATGCTCATATTTTGCTGCACTTCTTCATTATGCGTTTCTGTAATCTGATCCTTTATATAACATGCTTCAATAGTCTCTTGTTGCTCTTCAGTGATCAGGTCCCTTACTTTAATAGATCCACTGAAGTCACCTAGTCGATCACTTTGCTTGCTGCTAGTGAGCGTGTCTGGCACATTGGATTCATTCTGTAGCAGTTCTAAACAATGGATCCTCACCATTGGCTTCTTAGATGATGAAGCCAATGGTACTGGTGATTGTTCCTTGTTAGATAGTGAATGCAATGGTTCTAGTGATCGTTTCTTATTAGATGATGAATGCAATGTTTTTGGCGATTGTCTCTTGTTAGATAGTGGAGGCAATGGTTTTAGCGATTGTTCCTCGTTAGGTGATGAAGGAAATGGTTCTAGCGATTTTTCATCAAAAATGTCCACTTCTTCTTTGATAATCTTTTTTTTATTAAAGGACATTTGTTTTATTAGTAAAAAGTAAAATACATTAAAGTTAATATAAAGTTTAATAAGTAATGAAAATAATATTGACAATTATTTATTAAGAAATAAAGTGAAAGTTGAAATTGTGAAGTGAAGAATATGTACTTTTTATAACAAACAATAACTCCGAAAATTATTGTTAAAAAAAGCAGTCAGAGTAAAAGTTAGAAAAAGTTAAAAAATATGTTCTTCTAGCGATTATTCTTTATTAGATAGCAGACGCAATGTTTTTGGCGATTGTCCTTTGTTAGATAGTGGAGGCTATGATTCTAGCGATTGTTCCTCGTTAGGTGATGAAGGCAATGGTTCTAGCGATAGTTCATCAAAACGGTCCTTCACTTCTTCGATAATCTTTTTTATATTAAAGGACATTTGTTTTATTAGTAAAAAGTAAAATACGTTAAAGTTAATATAAAGTTTAATAAGCATAAAAATAATATTAACAATTATTTATTAAGAAATAAAGTAAAAGTT